TTGCTGCACTATGATTCGTGTTAACAGGTTATTTTAGCGGCTAGTGCTAATAAAATACAGGGGGGGGGGGGTCTGAAGGGGGGGGGAGGGGCACGACCGGCTCTGCATCGTCATTAATCAAAAGAGAGGATCCTTTACGCTGAGACACCGGGGGACAGAATACGATACAAATGCAAATACTATAATAAAATACTTAAATAAAATATAGAAAATGTAAAAGATTTGAATTAAAAATAATAATAAGTAAAAATCAATGAAGTGAATTTAAATATATAATTACATTAATTTTTAAAAAGAAGATTAAATAAGAAAATAATACAAAGCTCAATAAATAATGAAGCAAATCTAAACAGAAACATAAATGTGTTCGTATTTAAACACATTATCTTTACTGACTTTAAATATTTCATATTTCTAATATTCATTGACATGTTTATTTATATGTATCAGAACTACAGGCTTACTTTGCTTTAAAGTGTTAAGTATTGAGACGAGAGCTGTCAGATTACTGAGGAACAGGAGGAGTGGGGACAAAGATGAAGAACCGGAGAATGGAAATATATATGTGTGTGTGTGTGTGTGTGTGTGTGTGTGTGTGTGTGTGTGTGTGTGTGTGTGTGTGTGTGTGTGTGTGTGTGTGTGTGTGTGTGTGTGTGTGTGTGTGTGTGTGTGTGTGTGTGTGTGTGTGTGTGTGTGTGTGTGCGTGCGTGCGTGCGTGTGTGCGTGTGTGTGTGTGTGTGAGAGGTAGAGGTGAGACATCATTACAGGAGATTATCTCTGAATAAATAGAGATTACATCTCCATGCTCCAACAGCAGCAGGTGAGCTCTACCTGACACACACACACACACACACACACACACACACACACACACACACACACATTAAGCTTGACACACACTATGTGTGAAATTAGTCTTGGGTCTTGGATTTCAATGGGAAAGTTTGAATAAAGGGTTAGGTGTAAACGCATCATCATGCCTACCATTAGCCACCTTTAGCTTAGCGGTGTTGATGTGAAGTCATGTGACCGTGCTGTAGTTCCTTTATAGCCCAACATTAGCCACCTTTAGCTTAGCGGTGGTGACGTGAAGTCATGTGACCGTGCTGTAGTTCCTTTATAGCCCAACATTAGCCACCTTTAGCTTAGCGGTGGTGAGGTGAAGTCATGTGACCGTGCTGTAGTTCCTTTATAGCCCAACATTAGCCACCTTTAGCTTAGCGGTGGTGACGTGAAGTCATGTGACCGTGCTGTAGTTCCTTTATAGCCCAACATTAGCCGCCTTTAGCTTAGCGGTGGTGACGTGAAGTCATGTGACCGTGCTGTAGTTCCTTTATAGCCCAACATTAGCCACCTTTAGCTTAGCGGTGGTGAAGTCATGTGACCGTGCTGTAGTTCCTTTATAGCCCAACATTAGCCTCCTTTAGCTTAGCGGTGCTGACGTGAAGTCATGTGACCGTGCTGTAGTTCCTTTATAGCCCAACATTAGCCACCTTTAGCTTAGCGGTGGTGACGTGAAGTCATGTGACCGTGCTGTAGTTCCTTTATAGCCCAACATTAGCCTCCTTTAGCTTAGCGGTGGTGAAGTGAAGTCATGTGACCGTGCTGTAGTTCCTTTATAGCCCAACATTAGCCTCCTTTAGCTTAGCGGTGGTGACGTGAAGTCATGTGACCGTGCTGTAGTTCCTTTATAGCCCAACATTAGCCTCCTTTAGCTTAGCGGTGGTGACGTGAAGTCATGTGACCGTGCTGTAGTTCCTTTATAGCCCAACATTAGCCTCCTTTAGCTTAGCGGTGGTGACGTGAAGTCATGTGACCGTGCTGTAGGACCTTCATAGCCCAACATTAGCCTCCTTTAGCTTAGCGGTGGTGACGTGAAGTCATGTGACCGTGCTGTAGTTCCTTTATAGCCCAACATTAGCCTCCTTTAGCTTAGCGGTGGTGACGTGAAGTCATGTGACCGTGCTGTAGTTCCTTTATAGCCCAACATTAGCCTCCTTTAGCTTAGCGGTGGTGACGTGAAGTCATGTGACCGTGCTGTAGTTCCTTTATAGCCCAACATTAGCCTCCTTTAGCTTAGCGGTGGGGACGTGAAGTCATGTGACCGTGCTGTAGTTCCTTTATAGCCCAACATTAGCCTCCTTTAGCTTAGCGGTGGTGACGTGAAGTCATGTGACCGTGCTGTAGTTCCTTTATAGCCCAACATTAGCCTCCTTTAGCTTAGCGGTGGTGACGTGAAGTCATGTGACCGTGCTGTAGGACCTTCATAGCCTAACGCTAGCTTCTTTCGTGGTGTTAATAACACGTGGAGATTATCTGCTGAACACGGAGATGTATTTATTTGTTGAATCTCTGGAGTCATTCTGCAGGTTAATGGAGGCTCTGCTCAGTGATCCCCTTCCTCCTCTTCCTCCTCTTCCTCCTCATAATGGAAGACCCTCTCCTTCCTCCTTATCTCCCGCTTGCAGGCTGTTTCAGGGAGATAAGACCCCCCCTCCTCTCCCCCCCCCTCAACACATGTCCCTGTATGTAATCTGTTGTAGAACATGGATGCCTCTATAGGCTCTTTATAAAGGAGCCCATCAGTCTCAGCTACAGGTGATGATCTACAGGTGTTCAGCTACAGGTGTTCAGCTACAGGTGATACATGCTGTTTACAACACAGAGAGGTGTGTCGCCTCTCTGATGGACCACACACACACACACACACACACACACACACACACACACACACACACACACACACACACTCACACACACACACACACACACACACACTCACACACACACACACACACACACACTCACACACACACACACACACACACACACACACACACACACACACACTCACACACACACACACACACACACACACACTCACACACACACACACACACACACTCACACACACACACACACACACACACACACACTCACACACACACACACACACACACACTTAATGTCTATCTGTTTATCAGCTAACAGCAGAAATAACTCACTGCTTGAATGAACTCAAACTATTCTTTGTATTTATTTATTTCTCACGTTCACTTTTCTTATAAATAATTGTATGTTATCCTTTTTTATTCATAATAAATTATTATTTTGAGTGCATTAGATGTCATGTGTTTTTAAGAGAGTGTTTAAAATAAAAGTCATTGTTATAATGATGGTGTTTTTCATGAAGCTGAGAAATGTGTGTTTTTAGGAGAAGTGTTTAAACTTAATTTCATTATAATCCTCAGGATGTTTTAAATGCACGAGGTGTGTTTAAATTAGAACGGATGAATTAGCATTAGTTTGTTTCTGCGCTAAACCACCACTTATTTACTCAAACTATTCATTGTATTTATGACTTTGCAGTATTTAAATTTTTCATGTTTACATTTGTTTTAGATAATAATATTTTTTTATTTGTATTCATAATATTGTTTACATTCTTCTATAAAATATTTCAGTTTTCTCTTTTCTTCTTCCTCCTGTAGATCAGAGGTTCATCCATGAAGAATCAAATGTTACATTCATAATCATATTTTTTATACATTCATCAGTTCAGTGATAGATTATCTGTTTGATATGTCCTGTTTCACTTTAATGATCAATCATTATAAAACATATATATTATTCTGAAATGGACCAATCAATACTTTTACTGTCTTTAACTATATTCTGATGAGAATACTTTTCTACTTTTACTCAAACCTCCAGAAGTGTATTTGAATGTTTTCTTTATGAAATGTGTGTTATTCACAGACTGATCATTGATTGGATGATCAATGATCATCCAATCAATGATCATCTGTGACGCTGAGTCTGCCCGGCAGCACGTTGTATGTATTACTCATCTACCCTCATTTAAAGGCAGACTTCCTCACAGAGCCCCTCCTCCAACACACACGGACGCGCACATGACCAATGAGGGCACGAGATAAGTCTGTGCCCCGATGGAAGGCTGACAGGCAGGTAGGCCATCCAATCATCTCAGCCGGGCCGGCTCAGATGACTGGTCGTGCTTTTTACAGAACTACGGCTTCAAAGCATTTCATGCATTCATTGCTATCGGGATGTTTAGAGCATCCATGGAATATAACAAGTGTTTCTGAAGTGAATTACCTACCCCACCTTTAAGTGTTATTTAATTATTAAACGTTTCGGTTTTATTTATTTTTTTAAAAAGTAAATAAAATAATTTCAGATTTTCATTTGATTTGTTAAAAAATTATCACAAATGTCTTAAAGTTTAAATTTAAGATTTAAAAATGTAATAAAACCAAATAATCTAAATCGATCCCAGCAGGAAATCCCATAATGATGATAATAATGAAGTGATATCTGAAAGCAGCTGATGATAAATGGACCGTTAAATTAACTCATTAATGACTGACTCAATGACGTCATTAATGAATGAGTTAATTAATTAACCAGGTGAGCTCATTAAGGGGGGGGGGGGGACAACAGGAAGCATTTGAGATTTTATTAAATAAAAGTGCATTACATTTGAACCCGCCGTGACACACAGGCTTCACACACATATAAATAATGTGGGGGGGGCGGTATGTACAGGTGGTGCGTTCAGGGACCACTGAGTTTATAGTCTCTGCAGTGAATACAAAAGGAAATGAAAGCTGGTCTGTACAAAAACACGGAGAATCACAGCGGGGGGTTCTGGGTATTTTTTACAAGAGTCCAAAGAACCGGAAAACCGTCAAACCGGAACCGGAAGTCTACGAACCGGAACCGTACGTCCTTCATCCATCACTTTGCAAACAAGAAATCCTTATAGTCTGAAAAAGTGCGACTCCGAGAGTTCGAGTTCGTCTCCAGAAACAGGAAGTAAAGGAATAAAAGAAATACAAATAAAATGTGTTTAAAAGATTAAACCAATAAAACGATTAAAGAAAATAAAGAAATGGAAATGAAAGAAATAAAATATATACAAATTAAGAAATGAACATAACAGAAATAAAAATAAGTGTATTTGTGTTGATGTGCAGATTAGGAGCTGTCATTGTCCGAGGCGTGCAGCGCGTGCACGGGCTTGTGCTTCTTGAGCAGCACGTGCAGCTTCTCGTCGTCAGAGTTGGGGTCCAGAGGTTTGTTGTAGTCTTCATCCTCCTCCTCCTCTTCATCAGAGCCCTTCAGCCTCTCTGTCTCTGAGTCCTGTTTCTTCTTCGCTGTCGCCATCTCCGCCGCGTGCTTCTTCCGCCACTTGGTCCTCCGGTTCTGGAACCACACCTGAGAACACACAGATAATAACACACTCATTAACACACACATTAAACACACACTCATTAAACACACACACACACACACACACACTCATTAAACACACACACATACACACAACACACACACACACACACACACACACACACACACACTCATTAAACACACACACACACACACACACACACACACACACACACACACACACACACACACACACACACACACACACACACACACACACACACACACACACACACACACACACACACACACACACACACACACACACACACACACACACACACACACACCCACACACACACACACACACACACACACACACACACACACACACACACCTGATGCTGAGATCTGCAGAAGTCCTTTTTTAAACTCCCTCTAATTTGCAGGATAAACTGAATAAACGTTGTTGTTTTTTTGCACGATTTAACTTTAAGAAACTGCAAATTATATATATAATAACACACTCATTAACACACACTCATTAACACACACTCATTAACACACACACATTAACACACACATTAACACACACTCATTAACACACACTCATTAACAGGGACGTGCATAGACATTTGGAGGGGCTATTCCTCTAAACCAGAAGACCTTTTGAAAATTCTAACTTGTTTTTAATGTAAAAAGTTCATCAAATCAAAACACAACCCGTCACAGTGACTCTCAGTTGACTTTGATGTCCAACTGCTCAATTCCTTATTCAGGCACATGTTGAGTTTAGCGGTCCATGACAGTATCTAATGTGAGTAACTATTAAAGAACCAAACCGTTCTGTTCTAACGTAGTTTGTACCTGCTGTGCAGACACTCTGAGAACTTAGGCTTTAAAGACAGAAGCACAATAACAAGTATATTTAGGTGTATTTTTTGTAAATAACCGACGGTGTCAAGAGGAAGTAAAGTCCCCTGGTCTGTCCCCTGGTCTGTCCCCTGGTCTGTCCCCTGGTCTGTCCCCTGCTCTGTCCCCTGCTCTGTCCCCTGCTCTGTCCCCTGCTCTGTCCCCTGGTCTGTCCCCTGGTCTGTCCCCTGGTCTGTCCCCTGGTCTGTCCCCTGGTCTGTCCCCTGCTCTGTCCCCTGCTCTGTCCCCTGGTCTGTCCCCTGGTCTGTCCCCTGGTCTGTCCCCTGCTCTGTCCCCTGCTCTGTCCCCTGGTCTGTCCCCTGGTCTGTCCCCTGGTCTGTCCCCTGGTCTGTCCCCTGGTCTGTCCCCTGGTCTGTCCCCTGCTCTGTCCCCTGCTCTGTCCCCTGGTCTGTCCCCTGGTCTGTCCCCTGGTCTGTCCCCTGGTCTGTCCCCTGCTCTGTCCCCTGCTCTGTCCCCTGGTCTGTCCCCTGGTCTGTCCCCTGCTCTGTCCCCTATCCTCTAACTGCAATGAGAAAACTCTACATCAATATAAGCATATTTAAAAACGGGGAAATTTCCGGGGACAGATTGACCCGGGGATTGGCCTCCAAAGCCAGGCAGGCATGGTGTGATCCTCAGAGCCATGTGAGGCCGGAGGGCTTTCCTTTGCTATCAGCTGTCAGATTGTAAACAAAGTCACGTGATTGGGGACAGATGAGAGCGCTGACGAGGTGTGCTTCAATTGTGGGCTTTGGCCTCTCCAGAGGGGCAGGTCAGCCAAGGAGGGCACGTCCCTGCTCATTAACACACACACACACACACACACACACACACACACACACACACACACACACACACACACACACACACACACACACACACACACACACCTGCAGACATGAAGCACCTTCTTTGACTTTTTTACACCATTTAACAAAAATATAACTTATATTTCCAGCCCCAGAAAAACATCGTTTCTCCTCCTGACTGCAGAATACAGAATACAGATGACAGATGATCTGATAACCAGCAGAACAACCGGAGACAGAGTCCGTGCTTCACGCTCACAAATAACACGTGATTTGTGTCCGCAGAAAGCTCAGCAGTCTGCTTCCACTCTTTATAGAAACCTCTACCGGCTTCACTCAGACAGACAGCAGAGGACCATCTCCTGAGTCCTGAGTCCTGAGTCCTGAGTCCTGAGTCCTGAGTCCTGAGTCCTGATCTACAGACTCAGGATGCAGACATTACACACCGAGTCACCATCACAGTCTGCAGGACCATGCAAACAGAAACCCGGGCTGAGGGTTCAGAATGAAACTCAAATCACTCCGAACATTTTCATATATTTTATAAATCCACTCTCTTCAGGATTTAACTCAGTTTGCAGGATTAGTGAAATAAAGCCTCAGAGTTCCTCAGACTGATCTCAGATCAGACTCTCTGTGATGTTAAATGTGAAGCAGCAGAAACACTGATTCTCTCCTGATGTCTGATCTCTGCTGCGGGGTTAATGAAACCCTCAGCCCGGGTCAGAGCTCCGGGACCCGGGTCAGAGCTCCGGGACCCGGGTCAGAGCTCCGGGACCCGGGTCAGAGCTCCGGGACCCGGGTCAGAGCTCCTGCATCAACTCCCTGGAGAACCACCAAATAAAGAAAAGACCCCCTCATGCAGATCTCCCCGTCCTCACTCTCTCTTTTAGATCTGCTTTAACACTCCACATGAAACTAATGCTGTTAAACACCATCTGCACACACACACACACACACACACACACACACACACACACACACACACACACACACACACACACACACACACACACACACACACACACACACACACACACACACACACACACACACACACACACACACACACACACACACACACACACACACACACACACACACACACACACACAAACCCTTATATTTGTAGTTCTGAGAAACAACGAGCAGAATTTAAACTGAATTCAAATCAATATAATATTTAAACTTCAACATAATGTGAATCAAACTTCATTTATGAAGCGGACTCGATGCAGAATGACGCGCTGCACGTGTTGCATGACACGTGTGTATTATGGGATGTTCCAGAGGCCTCGGGGTCACGTGATGCCTGAGGGTTCAAACTAAATAATGAAAAGCTCGTTTTTCATTTTCTGAAAATAAATAGAGTTGAAATGAAATCAGAGAAAATGTGTTTGAAATGATAACTGGTAAAGAGCAGGTTTTAAAAGCATCACATGTTCCGGGTCTGAGGAGTTTAAATAATAACTCCTCCTGATGAGGAAACATGTTTGAATGTTCAGGAAAGTGTGTCTTCAGGAATGTGTTAAATATCTGTTACCTCCTGCATGTTGGAGAGTCTCTAAATGCATGCTGGGAAATGTGTTTTTAAAAGGTGTGTTTAAATTAAAATGGATTAATTAGCATTTTCCTAAATGTGGAGGTAATTAATGTTATTTTGAGTTCATTAGATTTAATGTGTTTTTAAGAGAGTGTTTAAAAAGTCATTATTATCATTTCCGGTCTTCTTCTCTTTGGATCTTTTGAAAGTGAAGTGTGTGTGTGTGTGTGTGTGTGTGTGTGTGTGTGTGTGTGTGTGTGTGTGTGTGTGTGTGTGTGTGTGTGTGTGTGTGTGTGTGTGTGTGTGTGTGTGTGTGTGTGTGTGTGTGTGTGTGTGTGTGTGTGTGTGTGTGTGTGTGTGTGTGTGTGTGTGTGTGTGTGTGTGTGTGTGTGTGTGTGTGTGTGTGTGTGTGTGTGTACCTTGACCTGGCTCTCCGTCATTCCCAGAGAATAGGCCAGCCTCGCGCGCTCCGGTCCCGCGAGGTACTTGGTCTGCTCGAAGGTTTTCTCCAGAGCGAAGATCTGCTGTCCGGAGAAGGTGGGCCGGGTGTGCTTCCTCTTCCCGTCCCGGTCCAGCAGCACCGAGCCGTGGTCTGGGGGGGGGGGGGGGGGGGGGGGGCACGGGTTAATACACGCGTGTTCTCACACAGAGGGACAGACACGGATTTATCTGTTGTTGTGTTGTTATATTCCTGTGTCTCTGTAACCTTGGGTCTGAACGGCTCTCAGTGATTCCTCCACTCAGCGGGGAGCAGCAGTGCGTGGCTGCACCGCGCACACCACGGAAGACTCGTTAAGGGTTATAACTGTGGGCTAAACGTGACAAGAGTGAGCTGCTGCTGTTTGTCTGTCGCTGTTTGTTGTTCTTGTTGTGTCTGTTTTATCACGTGTTGTTGTCTTGTCCCTAATTGTCTCACCTGAAAATAAAAAGATATAGGCTATATTGAAAGGGAATAAACCATGTTCACGCACAGCTGAAGGGAGAGAAGCTGGGTCATACATGTTCTTCATGTAACCGGAAGAACCACAGAGCCAGGACAGGGACAGAGACGGTCCATCAGGGACAGAGACAGAGACCCTGAGTGAGACGTCCCCCTGCCCACATGCCTGAAAACAGTCCTAATAAACGCTCTGCTCGCACCCTGTGGAGCCTCTAGAGATACATGTGAGATGTGTTCTACAACATGTGAGATGTGTTCTTCAACATGTGAGATGTGTTCTACAACATGTGAGATGTGTTCTTCAACATGTGAGATGTGTTCTTCAACATGTGAGATGTGTTCTACAACATGTGAGATGTGTTCTTCAACATGTGAGATGTGTTCTACAACATGTGAGATGTGTTCTTCAACATGTGAGATGTGTTCTACAACATGTGAGATGTGTTCTTCAACATGTGAGATGTGTTCTTCAACATGTGAGATGTGTTCTTCAACATGTGAGATGTGTTCTTCAACATGTGAGATGTGTTCTTCAACATGTGAGATGTGTTCTACAACATGTGAGATGTGTTCTTCAACATGTGAGATGTGTTCTACAACATGTGAGATGTGTTCTTCAACATGTGAGATGTGTTCTTCAACATGTGAGATGTGTTCTTCAACATGTGAGATGTGTTCTTCAACATGTGAGATGTGTTCTACAACATGTGAGATGTGTTCTACAACATGTGAGATGTGTTCTTCAACATGTGAGATGTGTTCTTCAACATGTGAGATGTGTTCTTCAACATGTGAGATGTGTTCTACAACATGTGAGATGTGTTCTTCAACATGTGAGATGTCTTTTTACCCAGTATTGTAACAACAACGAAAAACAATAAAAAAATAAAGTTTAAATATTTTCGAATGTTTATTTAGTGTCTTAATTTCTCTTATTAGAATACCTTTATTAGTCCCCCTCCCACAGAGGGGGACATGTCCCCCTCTGTGGGAGGGGGACATGTCCTCTCTCTGCAGGAGAACCGGAACCGGGTCAAACCCGTGAGAAAGCTCCGTTGGTCGGGACATGGTCTTTAGAAATATTAATAATAATATTATTAATAATAATAATAATAATAATAATAATAATAATAATAATAATAATAATAATAATAATAATAATAATAATAATAATACATGTAATTGTGTCGCGCTTTTCCTAATGCTCTCGCGCACTTTGCAGAACACCAGAAACACAGAATTCCTGACCCTTTAAGAAATGAAGAGGAAACAAATATATCGTGACATCCCGGATACTTTGAACTGAAATGTCAAACGGACTTCTTTGTGAACACAGTGCGCGTTTCCCTGGAATAACGGAGATATCACAGGGTGCTGTTCAGAGAGTCCCGGACCGAGACAGAGACCCGGACCGAGAGAGAGACCCGGACCGAGAGAGAGACCCGGACCGAGAGAGAGACCCGGACCGAGAGAGAGACCCGGACCGAGAGGGTCTGAGGACACAAAGGGTCTGAGGACACAGAGGGTCTGAGGACACAGAGGGTCTGAGGACACAAAGGGTCTGAGGACAGAGGAGGTCTCACGGGACGGAATAGGACAAACCGGGACCAACCGGAGTTCAGACTGAAACTGAAACTGAAGGAGAAATGGTGCAAAAAAAGTCATTTTCGAGACAAAAAAGGAGAGGAATAAAAACCGTGAATTTACAATTTAGGAAAAATAGAAACAGAAATTTAAAAAACAATTAAGAAAGAGACAGTGATTTAAACAATAATGAAAGAGCAGGAGGAAGGAGGTGGGTATGAAATACCTTTGAATGATTAGCGGTTCACTTGATCAATAAATAATAGCCTGTTATTATTATTAGTTATTATTAGTTATTATTATTTATTATATCTTAACGGGTTTTATCTTTTATATATTTACTGCCATGTATTCTTATGGTTCTCTTGTTCAAACATCTCATGTCCTCCAGAGAGAAGGCTCCTCTCCTCTGTCTCTGGTTTGAGACTTTAGGAAGAGCCTGTTTCACACAATGTGTATTTAATTATAATTATTGCTTAAATAAAAACCTGTGTTATTTTAGATGTAATTATATTAGTATTTAAGAGTGACCGGTTCATTTATCATCTCATCATTTAAACACGCTTTAGTATTTCTAAATGTTAATGAATGAATTCTTATTGAAACTAAATCATCTCATTTCAATAAACCCGTTTCCATCATCATGAGATCATTATAGTTATTACCTTTATTTAACTAAATAACTCCTTTTCAGAAATGTAAAATATAAAACCGTTTCTAGTCCCGTTTGTTCAATTTATGGAACAAATAACTCTTTAAATCATTTAATTCCGAAATGTAAAATACAAACTGGTTTCCACGCACGGGGGGGGGGGGGGGTTAGGGTCTTATTCTAATTATTGCATTTATTTAACAAAATCACTCTTTTCTTCTCAGAAAGTGAAGTTTTTAAATAATGTAATTCCTCAGAAATGTGAACGCGTTTCCACGCACGAGGGTCTTATAATTATTGCATTTATTTAACAAAATATCTCCTTTTCTCCTCAGAAATATTGAATATAAACTCGTGTCCTCGCGGAGCAGCAGGTTTTAATCTAATGATTTAATGAATGTAATAAATAACTCCTAACTTCCAGTTTCTAAATAACTTTCTCCGCAGAAATTGAAGTTTTTAAATAAATCCCAGACATTTAAAATATAAACTCGTTTCCTCGGAGCTTCAGGATTTAATTCTAATTACTGCATTTATTTAACAAAAGAACTCCTTTTTTCTCCCGTTTTTAAATAACTTTCTTCTCAGACATGTAGAATCTGAACAGTTCGCCTCGCGGGGAGCGGGACTGCATTTTCTGAATGAAAGGAATAAAAGACCTCCTTTTCTCCTCAGAAATGTAAAATAAAGAGTTTTCCACTCACGAGGGGAGCAGGAGAAGCGCGCGTCCCTCCAGTGGGGGGGGGGACTCTGCAGGACCCCGGGCCAGAAGAGGGGGGTCCGGCCCGCGGGAAGCTCGCCGAGGGGCTTCGGGTACCGGGGGCTGAAGAACAGTCCTTGGGGGTGGCACCGGGGGGCCAGCGCGGAGCCCAGCAGCCCCCCCGGGCAGGAGGCGCTTCCTCCGGCCAGCAGCAGCGCGGAGGGCCGGCTCAGGATGTCGTTAATCCCGTGGGGGGTCGCGGAGGAACACAGAGCCGAAGAACAGCCCTTCAGGCCCGGGGAGCAACCGGCCACTCCCCCGGGGTTCGGAGAGGTGGAAGAGGAGCCGGAGGAGGAGAAGGCCGGGTACAGGGGGGGGGGTCTTCATCTCATGAGCCATGCTGTGCAGAGCCGCCAGGGGGGGGGTTCCGAGGAGGAAGCTCTGCCCGTCCATCGAGGATAACATCACGGACTACCAGGAGGAGCAGGAGGAGCAGGAGGAGGAACACCGGGACACTGGAGCTCTGAGGCCGGGGGCAGAGCCCATCTCAGCCCGGGACATCCGGGGGGAGACACGGGAGAGAGGAGTGCGCGAGGAGGAGACTGAGGGAGAGTGTGAGGAGAGGAGGAGTGTGTGAGGAGAGGACAGGGTGAGGAGGAGTGTGTGAGGGAGAGAGTAGGAGGAGTGTGTGTGTGTGTGTGTGTGTGTGTGTGTGTGTGTGTGTGTGTGTGTGTGTGTGTGTGTGTGTGTGTGTGTGTGTGTGTGTGTGTGTGTGTGTGTGTGTGTGTGTGTGTGTGTGTGTGTGTGTGTGTGTGTGTGGGTGTGTCTGTGTGTCTGTGTGTGTGAGGAGAGAGAGAGAGGAGTGTGTGAGGTGTGTGTGTGAGGTAGATGTGTGTGTGAGGTAGATGTGTGTGTGTGTGTGTGTCTGTGTGTCTGTGTGTGGTGTGTGTGTGAGGAGTGTGTGTGTGAGGAGAGAGAGAGAGGAGTGTGTGAGGAGTGTGTGTGTGAGGTAGATGTGTGTGTGTGAGGTGTGTGTGTGAGGTGTGTGTGTGTGTGTGTGTGGGTGTGTGTGTGTGAGGTGTGTGTGGGAGGTGTGTGGTGTGGGGGTGACGGGTTGGGTGGGAGTGGGTACGGTGTGGTGAGTGGGTGGGTGAGGGTGTGTGTGTGAGGGTGTGGTGTGAGGACGGTGTGTGTGTGGGGGGAGGCCATTGTGTGCTGATGTGAGGGTGGTGTGTGTGTGAAGGTGTGGGTGGTGTGGGAGGTGTGGGGTGATGTGGTGGTTGTGTGTGTGAGGTGGGTGTGGTGAGGTGTGTGTGTGGGTAGGGTGTGTGAGGTGTGTGTGGGTGTGTGAGGTGGTGTGTGTGTGTGTGAGGTGTGTGTGTGAGGTGTGAGGTGTGTGTGAGGTGTGTGTGTGTGTGAGGTGTGTGTGTGTGTGAGGTGTGTGAGGTGTGTGTGTGGGTGTGAGGTGTGTGTGAGGTGTGTGTGTGTGTGTGTGTGTGTGTGTGTGAGGTGTGTGTGAGGTGTGTGTGTGTGTGAGGTGTGTGTGTGTGTGTGTGTGTGTGTGTGTGTGTGTGTGAGGAGTGTGTGAGATAATAGAACATGATCATCTGTCTATGAGCTGCACAGCAAACTTTACTCAGGACACCACGGGGGGAGACAGGGGGCTGCGCTGATTGGCTCCTCTGAAGGTGACGTAGGCCGCTGGATTTAGGGGAGGCTCCTGATTGGCTGAGAGGCTCAGTGCTAATCCTGGATGAGCTAATCATTAATACCTAAAATCCTAATATCTGATATTAGTCTCTGGGAATAACGGAGAGCCAGGTCAAGGTACACACACACACACGCACACACACACACGCACACACACACACACACACGCACACACACACACACACACACGCACACACGCACACACACGCACACACACACACACACACACGCACACACGCACACACACACACGCACACACGCACACACACACACACACGCACACACACACGCACACACACACACGCACACACGCACACACACACACACACGCACACACGCACACACACACACACACACGCACACACGCACACACACACACACACACACACTCATTGAAGAACAGCAGGAACAAGCTAAGGCTAATAGTTTGATGTTTTGAATTCCTTGTGATTATTTGTTATTAGTTAGTTTTAGTTGTTACACTTTAATACTCTGTGTTTTCTCTCGGCGTGTTTTTTTATTTTTTAACTGTTTCACAAATTATGCGGAATATATTTTATTATTATAATTAAATAAATATCTTTGTTTTAATTATTGTTGTTATCTCTAAAGTGTTATTATTATTGAATACATCTCATTTAAACTTGAACTAAACACATTTCATCTGGAGCTCACATTATATTAAATAAACAACCAATGTTTTTTAGTTAAAGGTCTAATTTATGACCTCAGAGTGTGTGTGTGTGTGTGTGTGTGTGTGTGTGTGTGTGTGTGTGTGTGTGTGTGTGTGAGTGTGTGTGTGTGTGTGTGTGTGTGTGTGCGTGTGTGTGTGTGAGTGTATGTGTGTGTGTGTGTGTGTGTGTGTGTGTGTGTGTGTGTGTGTGTGTGTGTGTGTGTGTGTGTGTGAGGACAGGCTGAGAACAGGAGGTGATCTGTGATCAGGTGAGTCTCTGGTCCCTGTAGTTCAAAGCAGATCAGGATCCCCCTGATCCAGATCCAGACTTTCAAGATGACTAGATCCTGAATAAAGTGCTTTAATCCGACCGATCGCCCTCTAGTGGACATGAGAGATACTACAGGGAAGACAAGAGACCACATTGCAGACATCTAGTTGCTCTTGAAAGGTGATGACAGATGGACTGTTTTTTTGTTGAAGATATTTTTATTTAAAGGGCCCATGTCATGCTTTTCCGGTTATTACCCGTCCCCTTGTGTGTTATGAAGGTTTTTATGCATGTAAACGGTGTGCAGAGTCAAAACCCTCAAAGTACACCCTGTAGCGAGTAAAACTCTACCGGGTACGGCATGATGTCATGCGGTACCCAGAACGAAATGGACCAATCCGGATGAGCTATGGCCACACCCAGCGGCGCTGGCCGCACCCTCTGCCAGCCTAACATTTACTGTCGGAAGCTCTGCTTCAGTTCACAATCAATCCAGTCATGCCACTGCCAAGGACCTGTTTCCTGAAATGTGAGGAGAAGTCTGAGCTGTTTGTCCTACCGACGGAAGAACCACCACGAAGTCAGTGGTTGAAATGTCTGTTTAACACTGTTCCTTCAGAGGTTCGAAGAACGTTACTATGTGCGCAGCATTTCACAGACGAAAGCTTCCAAAACATTGCCCAGTTTGAGGCCGGATATGCACAGCATTTGAAACTGAAGGACGATGCTATTCCTAGTTTGTTTGGACCGTTTGGAGCAGGGGAAGATCTGGGTATACAACCTGTACGTTTGCATTGTTATTTGTGTATTTATCAAACAAGACTGTTTAAATGTGTAAACGTGTGTCAGACTGCTAAGCCATTGACACAGTGCTAACTGTGCTAACTAAGTTGCTAGCGTTTCCATATATCAACTCTAATATCAGCAGATGGCCTTGCATACATGTATCTCATAGCAGGAGAATGTCTGCATTCACACACAAAATACTCATAGACAGTATACTCCGGGTGATTTACCGTACGGTCAGTCGCGAAACGTAATTACATTATAGCTGGCGTAGCGTGTATGCTACCGAGCTAACCAACGGAGCTAGACATAGGTTTGCTCGGAAAAACATTTGTGTTATGCTACGTTGCTAGCGTTTAAATATATCAACTACAATGTCAGCAGATGACCTTACATGTTTGTCATGGCAGGAGAATGTCTGCAGTCACACACACGGAATACTCATACAGTATACTCCGGGTGATTTACCGTACATTGTGACAGTACATGTACATACTGCATGTATAGCTAACGAGGCTAGCTATACATGCTAGCGGAAAACAATGTATTCATGGCAGTTACAATGAATGACCGAACGTAGCAGACTACCCGTATAAGATTGCAATTATAAACACGTTATTGCTAGCCTAATATGAACCACTAGCTTTTGTTCATAGTAGTTTTATTACACTCCATTATAGTTGCCGTTCCTCCAAGCTAACGTTCATATCGTGTTAGCTACCAAGGTAAACAAAGCTAGGTTAGCATATTAGCAGGCAAGCTGTTCATTAGATAGATCCACACTCCTACCACAACTACTACTAACGAATCTAAAACAACTAAGTTTCTCTAATATTTTGTGATTTGCATTTGATTTCGTCCAGCCAGATCCTGCCGGACAATACATGACGGGACTACCACACTGAGGCCTCGTCCTAAAAAGCCCCGGCTGCGATAAGCAAGATGCCGACAACGGGGAGTAATTGACTATATACCGTGTATATATGTATATTTATGTTCGTTTTGTACATTTCTAAAAATAAAGTTTGATGGAAATACTTAGTAGGCCTATCCTTTCTTCCCTGAATTATTTGCTCCTATAACATATCATTCATATATAGCAAACCATGATTTGATTTCTCATCAAACAGTAGTAGTTTATTACAGGTAACAATAACTTACTCTTTGTTATGAGCGGCTCGTAGGCCACAACGGAAAGACAAGGAGACATACACGAGTTTACAAAACCACGGCACATTTATTGTGGTAAATGCAGAGATAGGTGGTCGAGGGGAGAGGATCGCCGAGTTCGTCCTTCTGCAGCCACTTTCGAGAGAGAGAGGGGCCGCCGTGTGACTCCGGGCAGCTGGCTAGCACCTCGGCTCCGGCCAGGTGTCCGTGATCGCGCTGATTAGCCTCTTCAGCTCCACCCCATCGTAAGACAAAGGCCCTGGGGCCGTCACACTCTTCTATAACAACAGTTGTAGGTACAGTTCGGTTAGTTAGCGTATAAAATATACGGCTGTACCGACGCCATGATAAGACTGATGTTCCGAGAGCGAGCCGAAAAAAGCACTGTTCGACATGGGCGGAGCCTCTCTGGTGGTTGACTAATCAGAACAGAGTGGCCGAGCTGACCAATCGGAGCACACTAGGCTCACAGGGAGGGGGGGGGGGGGGCAAGAGCTCCAACGAGCCGTTTAGTGGAGCGAGTGAATACTGCTGAATACACATGCTTTACAGAGATGCTGTATGCGAAACCAATGTGAGTTTGGAAAATTGCACAGTATAAATCTATTTTAGTATACCTCAACAATGTAATTATGATCAGTGGAAATGGCCATGACATGGGCCCTTTAATCTAAATTACATTTGTGATTGACAATCTTTGTTGTGATACTTTTATGAGCATAAACTTTTATGTCATCAAGATTTGAAAACAAAATAGACCACAAATGTGACCAAAAAATGAAAAATAAAATGTATTTCCCATGAAGGCTAAACATGGTGTATTATTTCAGTTAACAAACTTTG